TGGCCACGAGAAAACGTGAACTCGTGAAAGTAATGTGACCTATGTCACATGTTATAAATAAACTATGGTGTATGAAAAAAAAAAGGCATCCCTGATCGTGCAACTAAAAATTTCTGATGGCTTACGCTATCTATCGGAATAAATCGTTGATTTTTAATAATTCCACAATTGGCCAAATACCAAATCAACCTATAAGTTTATATATATTCCGAAAGATGGCGCAACTTTTAGTTGCACGATCAGTGAAGATGTTTTTTTCTTATAGTAACTTACTAAGTTTATGATTTGAATAATAAAACCTGATAAAATAGAATTGTGTTCCTCTGATATCGTGACAATTGGTGGAGATGATTTTATCTATTATCATCAAATCAGACACGATATCCCACAAGGGATGCTTGAGTCAATAAACAACACTAAATTCAGAGAATATTTTACATAAACAATTGAATAATTACCTCTTAAAAACACCTTCTGGACCCCCCCGAAGTTGATCCACTTTGCCGTAGTGGGGGGGCCCGAGTCCGACTTCCAAGTCGTTCCGCCAAGAGATCAACACCACAGAGGTCCGTACGTCTCTTGACCTCACGGACAATACAGCAGCTACCGCTTTAGGACAGGTCAGGGAAGGTGTGCAGAGCTGATGAAGTTATGGGGCTACACCAAAGATCCAAATTGTGCCTGCAACGTCCCACAATCAATGTCCCATATACTAGATGACTGCCCGCTGTAGAAATTCAATGGAGGAATCTCCAATCTCCATTCTGTCACCCCGGAAGCCCTGAACTGGCTGAAGGCCTTGCCTCTCAGACTTTAATGACCGATATGTCCTCACTTCTTTTTTCTAGATTTAATTCATTTTGTCTCCTCTCTAATTGTAAATACGCTGCTGTATCACCTCATAAGCATAAATAAATAAATAACCTTCTGGAGATTTAGCAACCCACTGAAGACGCTGAGAACTATTTCAGAAAAGAAAAATATAGCAATAGAACTCTATAATTTCTACAGATCAATTGTAAATAGATTCATACACAAAAGAAGTAGTGAGGAAAGTTTTAGAACAGATGTGTAAATAAATCGCTTTTCAAATAAAGACTCACGTGCACATGGGGAAAGGGAGAAAAAAAAATTACTGTATTAATTTGTTGTTGTATAGCGAATCCATACAGTGCAATGGGCCCTAATAAAAGCCTTTCTTGTTGTTGTTGGGTAATTACAAGGTTTGAGTAGAAGTTTAAAGAAGAAAGGAAAAGACTTGGTGAAGATGATAGATAAAGCCTTGAAATAAAAAACGAATGAGTCAACGAATTTGAGGAGAAGTCTTCGACTGAAAGGCTTATCCTCCGATTTCAGGATTACATAACAGAAGACCATTCATGATAAAGAATGAATCTGGAGAAATTTCAGCACAAGTTTAATAACTCCTTTCCTTTCAACTCTCTCACCATGATTATAGAATTTTTATTTCAATTACGGGGGTCGGTGGAAGGCTGGTCTAAACCGTTGGTTGTCGACCGCTATGACCCGGGTTCGATTCCCGCATTGGACACTTTTTTCTGATAAAAAAATGCTCCAATGGCCCCCGATTCTTGCAAAACTTCAACCCCACCAGCGAGTGCAAGTAATCAAACGGGGCTCTGGCATATTTATAAGTGCAAAGTCGAACTGCTTTACGCATGTGTAGACATGTGGTGCACTTACAGTAAAAGCAGTCGCCTACTTCTACCCACCATGATTATCATGGCTGTACCACGTGTACTGGGGATAAGCAAAAAAATATATAAATATATTTCAATTACTTATATATAACTTAACATTCAGTATTTTCCAAGTGTGTCTAACTTTTACAATACTAATGATGCTATGAAACGCTACAAATTTGAGGAGAAATCTTCGACTGAAAGGGGTTATCCTCTGTTTTAATGGATTACCTAAAAAAATAATTCATGATAAAGAATGAATCTGGAGAAATTTTCACTTAAGTTATTTAACGTCCTTTCCTTGCAAATCTCTCTCCACATTATTATAAAATTTATATTCAAATTACTTCCATATAACACATCCTATATTCATTATTTTCCATGTGTGTCTAACTATTACAATATTAAAGGCGCTATGTTCAAAAGATGTTTTTCTATATAACATATGGCAAAATTATTCTGTCAATATGATGTACTAGGGCGCCATCTGTTATAAAAAATTAAAACTATTTTTGATGCGAGGTATGTTTCTTTAATAATAATAATTTTATATATTCTATATGAATGAAAATTCAAGAAGTAAATACACCCATACCTCACTTTACGTCGGGGTTACGTTCCAAAAAAAACACGACGCAAATTGAAACGACGCAAAGTGAAAATATGTGAAGGCGCAATCAAAAAACAAAGGTGTTGCCATATTTTAGGGGGAAAAAAATTAAAGACTCGAATCCAAAACAACGCAACTTCGAAAATATAACGACGCACAGTGAAAATCAGTAAAAATTAAGCAGCGACGCAACTTCGAAAAAAACGCTAAACGAAACGACGCAAAGCGAGGTATTGGTGTATTCCAAATAATTATCAGTGTTTATTATGGACGAGCTATTTGTCGTCTACCAAGAGTTATAAAGCCTCCATAAACCAGCACATTATAGAAGTTTGTATTGTATATAAAAGAAACATTCGAGCTTAAATCCTTTCATTTTATATTATAGATAATCTTAACTGAAATGGTAGAGATACCAATGTATGAACATATTAGGCTGCCCATCATGTAGAAGCTTTTTTTATTATCCCTAGTACACCAAGTACAGGCCATGATAATCATGGTAAGTGAAAGTTGGCGACTGCTTTTACTATAAGTACACCACATGTCTGTCTACACATGTGAAAATCAACTCTACTTTTGCACTTACAAATATGCCAGAGCCTCATTTGATTCCTTGCACTCGCTGGTCGAGTTGGAATTTTGCAAGAATCGTGGGCCATTGAAGCATTTTTTTTTTCAAATTAAAAAAAAAAAAAAAGTGTCCAATGCGAGATTCGATCCCGCTTCGTAGCGGTCGAACCAACGGTTTAGACCACCCATCCCCCGACCTTCCCTAATCATGGCCATGAAGATATAAGAGGTAATGGCGATGAGTGTCTATAATAAAGAGATATAATGGTAAAGATAAAGGCTGTCTGGCCGGAATTCATAGTTCTTCAAATTAAAGATTTTTGTCGAAATGTCGAGACAATAATAAATATTCACTGGCCGAAGTATCTTTAATTTGAAGAAAGAGATAAAAGATTGGCGAGAGAAAGCTTTCAGACAATAACCTCTTTAGTTTCTGATATTACAGCCTGTTGAAGGAAGGTATTGTCCTTAACCTCGCCAAACCTCTCGTAGCTTTTATTTCTCTTCTCTCTCTTAACAAATATCTTTATTTATCATGAAATTGTAAAAAACGTTTAAAAATACAATAATTATTTCCCACAATGATTTTCTTTTTATTTTAAAATGCTAGTTTTTAAGAGCAATTATCGCATGAAAGCTTATAAAGCTTAAATAAAAAGAAACTCATTGTGGGAAATAATTTTTGCATTTTTAAACATCCTCGTATTGGGACTACAACGAAATATAAACAACCCGGTTTTGTCAAAATCTATTTGAGATTTTATAGAGCAATAGAGAAAATTTGAATTTTAAATTGGTTTGAGACTTATTATGCTTTGTAAGTAATTACGTCTGTCTTTTTCTGAGATGTTTGTTATTTCTGTGCAGAAGATCTAGCATTGAGTAGAAAGAGAGAGATTGAGATTGAGAAACTGATTTATTACAATGTTCATATAAGATTATACAGTGGTACCTCGACATACGAGCGCCCCAACATACGAGTTTTTCGAGATACGAGCCGACGAGCAAGTGATTTTTTGCTTTTAGTTACAGCGAAATTCGAGATACGAGTTCGGTAGTAACACGCAGTCGCGCCATCACGATCAGTTAGCAGCGTGCTTCCGCTGTGATAAGTTGTGTTTTGTGTTCGCGTTTTGTGTTGCGTTTACATTTACAGTTTTAGTTCATTTATTTTTATAACCATGGATCAGAAGAAAGTTTGTGAAAAGTCAAGTGCTAAGAAAAAGATGATGAGTATTGAATTAAAACGTGAAATTTCTACAAGTGAGATAAAAGAGATCTTAGGAATGTGGGAGAGAGTTTCACAGTTCGTGAAAAAAAAAACACCCAGAAAAAGTTGCAACAGGTCGTGCATCTGACCTTTTTAATGACACTTGCCTAACTCATTTTTGGAACATTCTGAGAGGGAGGCAGAAACAAACCTCCTTGGACATGTTTTTTTTTCTAAACGGCCTACAGGTGAAAACGAGAAAAATGTAGCGAAAAAGGCAAAGACCAGTGAGGATATCTAATTTATTTCTTTACATTCTCTTTTTTGTTATTGTGCAATAAATATTTTATATTTATGAATACGTTTTTATTATTTAAAACCACGTAACTAAAAAAACTGGGATGACATTTTGGAGGTTGGAACGGATTAATGGTAGTTCAATTGTTTTGTATAGGGAAATTTGCTTCAAGATACGAGTAATTCAAGATACGAGCAAGGTTGCGGAACGAATTAAACTCGTATGTCGAGGTACCACTGTATATGGTTAATTACAAAATTTATAAATGGTAAAAAAATAATTAATAAATATACATATATAAAAATATATACAAGGTCTACATTGGTGGGGCCCACCGCGGGAAAGACTGCGCCACCGATGGACTGCGAGAGTTCGTTCCCACAGAGTGGGAGAAAGAGGTGATCTAGACATGCCCGAAAACGAAAACATTGTTTTTTTTTAATTGAAAAATCGGGATCATTAAACAACATTAAAATTCTTTTTGTGGATTGCTTACTTTTAAAAAAAAATTATTTAATGTTGGGTGGAACCAGTTAGTTGACCTATATATTCTAGCCTTCAAACTGCCCGGTATTCATAAATGTTCAATTGCCTTTATTTTCAACAGGGGATGTAGCTCAGATGGTAGAGCGCTCGCTTAGCATGCGAGAGGTACTGGGATCGTTACCCAGCATCTCCATCTTTTTTTTTTTTGACAAAGGAGAATATAATAAAATAGATTAGCATAAATATGGTGCATTAAAAAAAAAGGCATCCCCTGATCGTGCAACTAAAAATTTCTGATGGCTTACGCTATCTATCGGAATAAATCGTTGATTTTTAATAATTCCACAATTGGCCAAATACCAAATCAACCTATAGTTTATATATATTCCGGAAGATGGCGAAACCTCTAGTTGCACGATATCAGGGGAAGATGTTTTTTTCTTATAGTAACTTACTAAGTTTATGATTTGAATAATAAAACCTGATAAAATAGAATTTTGTTCCTCTGAAATCGTGACAATTGGTGGAGATGATTTTATCTATTATCATTAAATCAGACGCGATATCCCACAAGAGATGCTTGAGTCAATAAACAACACTAAATTCAGAGAATATTTTACATAAACATATGAATAATTTCCTCTTAAAAACACCTTCTCTAGATTTAGCAACCCACTGAAGACGCTGAGAACTATTTCAGAAAAGAAAAATATAGCAATAGAACTCTATAATTTATACAGATCAATTGTAAATAGATTCATACACAAAAGAAGTAGTGAGGAAAGTTTTATAACAGATGTGTAAATAAATCGCTTTTCAAATAAAGACTCACGTGCACATGGGGAAAGGGAGAAAAAAAAATTACTGTATTATTTTGTTGTTGTATGGCGAATCCATACAGTGCAATGGGCCCTAATAAAAGCCTTTTTGTTGTTGTTGTTGGGTAATAACAAGGTTTGAGTAGAAGTTTATAGAAGAAAGGAAAGGACCTGGTGAAGATGATAAGTAAAGCCTTGAAATAAAAAACAAAACAAATGAATCAACAAATTGAGGAGAAGTCTTCAACTGAAGAGCTTATTCTCCGATTTCAGGATTGCATAACAGAATACCATTCATGATAAAGAATGAATCTGGAGAAATTTCAGCCCAAGTTCACTTACTCCTTTCCTTTCAACTCTCGCTCTTACCATGATTATAGAATTTATATTTCAATTACGGGGGTCGGTGGAAGGCTGGTCTAAACCGTTGGTTGTCGACTGCTATGACCCGGGTTCGATTCCCGCATTGGACACTTTTTTCTGATAAAAAAAAACGCTCCAATGGCCTCCGATTCTTGCAAAACTCCAACCCCACCAGCGAGTGCAAGTAATCAAACGGGCTCTGGCATATTTATAAGTGCATAGTCGAACTGCTTCACGCATGTGTAGACATGTGGTGCACTTACAGTAAAAGCAGTCGCCTACTTCTACCCACCATGATTATCATGGCTGTACCACGTGTACTCGGATAAGCAAAAATATATATAAATATATTTCAATTACTTCTATATAACTTAACATTCAGTATTTTCCAAGTGTGTCTAACTTTTACAATACTAATGACGCTATGAAACGCTACAAATTTGAGGAGAAGTCTCTGACTGAAAGGGGTTATCCTCTGTTTTAATGGGTTACATAAGATAATTCATGATAAAGAATGAATCTGGAGAAATTTTCACACAAGTTATCTAAAGTACTTTCCTTGCAACTCTCTCTCCCCATTTTATTATAAAATTTATATTCAAATTACTTCCATATAACACATCCTATATTCATTATTTTCCATGTGTGTCTAACTTTTACAATATTAAAGACGCTATGTTCAAAAGATGTTTTTCTATATAACATATGGCAAAAATATTCTGTCAATATGATGCACTAGCGCGCCATCTGTTATAAGATTTTAAAACTATTTATGATGTGTATGTTTCTTTAATAATAATAATTTTATATATTCTATATGAATGAAAATTCAAGAAGTAAATACACCCATACCTCACTTTACGTCGGGGTTACGTTCCAAAAAAACACGACGCAAAGTGAAAATATGTGAAGGCGCAATCAAAAACAAAGGTAATGCCATATTTTAGGGGGAAAAAAATTAAAGACTCGAATCCAAAACAACGAAACTTCGAAAATCTAAAGACGCACAGTGAAAATCAGTAAAAATTAAGCAGCGACGCAACTTCGAAAAAAATGCAAAACGAAACGACTCAAAGCGAGGTATTGGTGTATTCCAAATAATTATCAGTGTTTACTATGGACGAACTATTTGTCGTCTACCAAGAGTTATTTAGCCTCTATAAACCAGCACATTATAGAAGTTTGTATTGTATATAAAAGAAACATTTGAGCTTAAATCCTTTCATTTTATATTATAGATAATCTTAACTGAAATGGTAGAGATACCAATGTATGAACATATTAGGCTGCCCATCATGTAGAAGCTTTTTTTAATTATCCCTAGTACACCAAGTACAGGCCATGATAATCATGGTAAGTAAAAGTTGGCGACTGCTTTTACTATAAGTACACCACATGTCTGTCTACACATGTGAAAATCAACTCTACTTTTGCACTTACAAATATGCCAGAGTCTCATTTGATTCCTTGCACTCGCTGGTCGAGTTGGAATTTTGCAAGAATCGTGGGCCATTGAAGCATTTTTTTTTTTTTCAAATAAAAAAAAAGTGTCCAATGCGAAATTCGATCCCGCTTCGTAGCGGTCGAACCAACGGTTTAGACTACCCATCCACCGACCTTCCCTAATCATGGCCATGAAGATATAAGAGGTAATGGCGATGAGTGTCTATAATAAAGAGATATAATGGTAAAGATAAAGGCTGTCTGGCCGGAATTCATAGTTCTTCAAATTAAAGATTTTTGTCGAAATGTCGAGACAATAAAAATATTCACTGGCCGAAGTATCTTTAATTTGAAGAAAGAGATAAAAGATTGGCGAGAGAAAGCTTTCAGACAATATCGTCTTTAGTTTCTGATATTACAGCTTGTTGAAGGAAGGTATTGTCCTTAACCTCGCCAAACCTTTCGTAGCTTTTATTTCTCTTCTTAGCAAATATCTTTATTCATCATGAAATTGTGAAAAACGTTTAAAAATACAATAATTATTTCCCACAATGATTTTCTTTTTATTTTGAAATGCTAGTTTTGAAGAGCAATTATCGCATGAAAGCTTATAAATCTTAAATAAAAAGAAACTCAATGTGGGAAATAATTTTGAATTTTTAAACATCTTTATAGTGAGACTACAACGAAATATAAACAAATCTGTTTTGTCAAAATCTATTTGAGATATTTATAGATGAACAAGCGGATGTGTACCCGGCTTCGCCCGGGTTTTATCCAAGTGAAAGTTTGCCTAACGAATATTATTGATAATAATATTCCGGAACACACAGAATATTTTGATAATTATGATAATAATATTCGTTACATTATGTATTTATATAATATATAAAATATATTTCTCGAGCAAACATATCTACTCTCTCTACTGAATAGATTTTTTAAAAGATATATATAAATGAAAATATCTAGAGATATACTACATGATCTTTGCCGAAAGGCCGAGAAACGATATTTTATATATAGAGATGACCTGGCTTCGTGTGTCTTCTGCTCGAGTGAATGTTTCGCTGGTAGAATTTTGGTCCTGCCTGCTAAAAATTATTATCTGGCTTCGCCTGTGGTCTGCTTTAGTGAATATTCCCCTAAAGAATTTTGTTTATGTCAATCAAGCCTGATACAGCAATATTGTCATCATCATTTCTGACTAAAATAATATTGTTGCTCAGTACTTGGTTAATTACAATTTTTCTTGGTTAAAAGTGCTACAGAAAACTCTTCCATATTCAACTCTCTGTCCTGTTCAAATTTCAGCGAGATTAGTTACATATTGAGGGCGTCCATAGCCGACAAACATACAACATATATATATATGTATATATATATTTCCGGCTTCGTCCGGTTTTTACCCGAGTAAAAGTTTGCCTAACGAACATTTGTTAAAACGATTCTAGCAAACATCCAATCCCTACTGAATCTATACTTGTCTATACTCTCGATAATTTGAAATTTCTTCCCGGTCCCTTGAAAAATACTCGATAAGTTGAATAAAATAAATATTAATTGGTTCACTCGGTAATTTGAAGTTGAAGGAATAGTATCTTGCCACAAACGAACATTTGTAAATAACTGTATTTAGCGAATGTACCCGGCTTCGCCAGGTTTTTAACCGAGTAAAAGTTTGCCCAACGAACATTTGTTAAAACAATTCTAGAAAACATTAAATCCACCTATATATAGATTTATAAACGCATATAAATATTGTTATATGCTTTTAAATATATTTTTGAAACACATATTCTTTTAAAAAACATTTATTAAATTTTAAATAAGATATTTTTTTTAAATATATATTAATATTGATATGTCAAGTTTTTTTACAACGTCATTGGTATATTATATCACTAAATTCTCAAATTAAATATTAAATTTATTATACTTGGAACACATTTTAGCATTTTTACAATTTATAAATGTAATTTCACCAGATGCCGCGAGAGACGCTACTTGCGAGTGAAAGTAGAAAATTTGCAAATAAAATTGCAACGAATATTTATTTCAAATCAAATTCAAACAAGAAACCTTCCCAGTAAATAACTTTCTAAAGTTTCACGGCGATTGGATAATCTGACCTTTAAAAAACATTCATCGTGTAAACAAACTAACATTCATCGTGTAAACAAACTACGTTTAAAATTATTAACCAATCAAATTCATTCATCGTCGCGATTAGTGCTGCCGCCAAGCGGTAAAAGGCTGGAACTAACGCTTTTTGGTTTTACATTTAAAAAAAAAGCTCATTAATCTTTTGAGTTTTTTAAATAGCCTATATATTAAACGAAATCTTCAGCTACCTATATGCGAAATTTCATAATGATTGATTCTGTAGATTTTGCGCAAAGCGTTAACAAACATCGATTTTGGATTTCATTTTTTATAGATAAAAGGATAGAGCAAATTTAATTTCAAATTGGTTTGAGACTTATTATTCTTCGTAAATAATTACGTCTGTCTTTCTCTGAGATGTTTTTTATTTCTGGGCAGAAGATCTAGCGTTGAGTAGAGAGCG